GGGTTAGCATTTCATGGGGTTTGAAGTCTTTTGAGACATTAATGAATGTGTATAAGCATCATTGGCTCATGTGGGCATGGGTGGTATCTTATTTGCTTCCCATCATGGAATTTGAACCAGTTGTACCTGGTGAAAGTATTGCATGAGAATTTCATTTCTGCCATATACCACCTTGGTATGTGCCTTGTCTTTCAAATTCTGTTGGGTTGCTAAGCAATACCTGTCATTCAGTTTATCTTAGTACAACATTCATTGTTCAAAGTTTCGGTTGAGTTCAATATGACTCGGCCAAGTCCTGAACTCGGTGGCCTCCGATCTGATAACGCAACATGAATATCAAGAGTTCTTCCTAAATTGGTGGCGATCAGTTGTATCGGTTGAACTCGTAGTTATATATTTTTATGAATCAAATATTAGACACTGGACTCGGACCGAATTATTGAGATCTTTGGCAAAATCCACAAAATCTTAGCCAAAATGCAAAAGGTCAAAGAAAAATGTAAATTGAGAAGAAAATGATGAAACCCACGTGAAAATCTGCAATGTTTCACACCCTAGATCGTAAAAATCACAGGCAGATTCACCCCATGGCAAAACAGAAGAAGGATCCAAACAATTGTGAGGCAAACTTGGCCCCTTTTGTTCTACTTCGTGCAGAAGGTAGCAGGCAACAGTGGCCTAGATCCCACCTTCCCAGCGATTGACTACGAGTCAAGCCTCCGATTGTATCATCTGAGACAAGGCATCTCGTAGGTCCTCTCTCTCTCTCTCTCTCTCTCTGTGAGACGATTCGTCTCTCATGTCTCTCTCTCTCTCTGTGTTAGACCAGCGACCAGTCCCATAAGAGTCAACAAACTCTGTGTGTGCTCCTTAAAGGTAATTTTATTTTCTCTTTTTGTCATCGTGCTCCTTAAAGACTATCTTTCATCTTTAAACTAAATTTGGTTTTTTTTTTTGATTTTTGGCCCTTTTGGGTATATTTGTATTTTAAAATTCTTAATCCTTTTTGTTTCGTTAAAAATAAAGATAAAAATTATGTTAGATTTAGAGTTAAATTTAGACATTTGATTTAAATTTAAACCTCTTTGTATCGTTAATTGCAAAAAAAATTAAAAAAATACAAAATTTCAAAAAATAAATAAAAACTCCTACTCTAAATTTTGGCTCGATATATTCTTAAATACTTTTATTGAATACTTATGATTATAAATTTTGTGTAGCGCCCAAATAATTAATTTTTACTATACTTAATTTATTAGGTGATATATTTTGAACAAAAAAAAATGCATGGATGTTCTTAATATTTTTCATGATTTTTCTAAAATTTTTTGGGTCTTTTGTCTAGCATTTTGTGTGTATCGGCTCATTCTATGTTGTGACGCATTTGTATTACTGCCCCAATTGAGATGAGGATTGATGTTAGAATTTAGAACAAAGGGTTGGGTGAATTCCAATCTTCCCATTTCTTAGGGATCACCTACTTCTTGTCTTCAGTGCCCTTGCTGCCTTCTTTCTGTTAGTATGATTTATTTTTTAACTATGAAGCACAAATACTTTTTTTAGGTCAAAATATTTGTATTGAAATGAAATTCATCGGATACACGAATATGTGTATCGTATATGTACAATGCATATATAAAATTAGTAAAATATTTTTTATTTTTGAAAACGTCTTTGATATTGGTATCAAATATGAATATTTGTTTGTGTCTAATTTCTAATTTCAATTTTTACCTCTAAAATTCAAGTGCAATAATATACAAAAATAAAAATTCATGACTTTGAAAACATGTGCGTGTTTTTTAGTATCAGCCATTAACACATGTCAAAAGCCACATAATAAGAGTTGATCACACCCTATCTCTTGGAAATAAGTAATTTTAAACAAACAAATTGATTAAATGTTGGCTCTGATTCTTTTATTAGCCATGTTCATTTTGTGGGTATTTAATGATGAGACCATATATGTTTCTTTCAAAGTAAAAATTATTATTATTTTTTATCATTAAAGATTTTATTGAAAACTATAATCATCACATCGTGAGATAATGGGAAAAATATGAAATATTTTGTATGTGGACGTATCTTGGCAATATGTGTGCCTATTTTGAAGTTTTATTGTATCGCTATGGTCGTATCCTATTGCGTCCATTTCATATATCCCGTATCTGCATACGTGCTTCGTAGTTTTTTGGACAAATTATGTACTTTGACATCAACATTGGGCGAAGTTTCAATATTGGCAAGTGACAGATGTCTGATCATGAGGTGCTGTGAATCAATAACCAGGATGGTGCTAATGTCCACCGAGTGAGGTGGGATTGCCATTATTTTTCCTCCAAAAAATATTACATATGTAATCGAAGGCAACATCCTAAAGTTTTGAGGGTTGGGAATAGTTTATAGTTTTCAATCACATCAAGTTGTTGGTTCTTACCCCAATTCTTCATTGATATGACAGTTGCTATGATTTTATAATTTTTGTAAGTCTGGCTCTTTGTTGTTGAACAGCCTGTGATCTTGTTATTAGATGGAAATTCTAGAAATTAATTTTTAGTGTTAGAAAAAGAATGTCAACACATGTTTCAAAGTTGGCTTAGGATGATTAGTGTTCCAGAATTGAAAAGCTTGGATTGGACATGTCAATTAGGCAAACCATGAGTAATTCATCTAAGTATCTTTTAGGTGGTGTTTATGAAGCTAATTTCACTGTGAAAGCGTGATTGCTAGGCAATGGTAAGTTTTTTTTTTGCTTCTCTTCTATAAATGTTGCGTGTTTCTTTGAACTCTGCAGACATTGGTTCAATATGAGTTGCCTGTGATAGTTATAGTCTTTAACAATAGTTGTGTATATGGTGGTTGACTGGAGGTGCCCTGAAAAAATTGCAGGACCTTACAAAGATGATCCAGTGGCAACGTCTTTGTCCCTAGTGCAGGATATCATCTTCGAATTGAAGCTTGTGGGGGAAGAGGTTATCTTGTTAGGACACCTGTTGAACATAAATCTGCACTTTCTGCATCTTTTTTTTGCATGAAGCCTGCTGTCATAAACGTTACAATCGATCCAGTTGTTGGTACAAAAAGTGGGAGGTTGCAGCACAAAAACTAAGGTAAGCTGCAGCACAGCGGTTCATGGTTTGTTAACGCTTGAGTTCGTTAAATGTTTTCTGTTTGTCAAAGTGGTCAGTTAAAATTTATAAAGCCAATGTGGTTGTTGCTAGCTTGTAGGTTTATGGTCATTTACTCCAGCTATACATTGGGATTAGAGAATTTCAATTCATGATACTTGACCTAGTTGATGTACAATATCAACTGACTCCATCTACCGGGTGCAGGCTTAAGCTGATTTTGCCACGATGGAAATGCATATTCATATTGATCTACTGTGTGTGCTTGATAGTGTTCATTATATACTGTTTTTGCTTTTTCTATAGCACCTGTAAACAGTGTATTTGTTTTGTTAGCAGTTAGATTGGTGGGTGGAAATTGGAATTGCATTATGCTCTCAAGACTTTTGGAGGCTGAACAAAAAAAAGTTCAAGTTCTTTGCGCTAATGGTTGGATGGTACAGAGTTCTTTGTTGTTGCTCGGTGCTACGCATGATATAGAGTTTTTAATCACCTTTCAGTGAACCTTAAAAGTGGGGATTCCAATTTTTTTGCGCTAATGGTTGGATGGTACAGAGTTGTTTGTTGTTGCTCGGTGCTACGCATGATACAGAGTTTTTAATCACCTTTCAGTGAACCTTAAAAGTGGGGATTCCAATTTTTTTTTAATGTTTATATTCCGATGTTACATGTAAGATAACTTGAATTATTAAGGGCCTATATAATAAATCACCAGCCATAAGCATATGGATTTCTCTCTCTCTCTCTCTCTCTCTCTCTCTATCTTAAAAAAAAATAGAAAATAGAAAATGCGTATTAGAAGTTGCACATATGATTCGTCAACTTGTACCTATACTTGGAGTAAATTGCACTGTAGGGACTAGTCTTTTCTCACTTTCCTGGTGAATCAGGACATGGAAATGTTATTTTATATTAGATTTTCTACCAGCTTTCTCAGTATTTTGTTAATGGTAGTGCATGTCAACTGGTACAAAAACAGAAGAGGAGCAAAAAGTGGGAGGGAAAAGGGGGAAGGGGGAGGGGGCGTAGCCTGATTTATATAAAAAAAATGTAGAGATTTGATAGCCAAAATAATTTGTTAAGTTGTACAAAAATTTAAGATAGTCCAAACATTTCAGATTTTATTTGCATTTGGGTGATTGTGGTGAGTTTGGCAAATCGATTATTGCAGTAAGGAGGTTTTCTCCTCATGGTCAAATGCGTTATTATTGGTTTTGTTATTGCGATTTCGAGGATACAATTGTATTGTTATAATCTGAAACTTAAATGAGTTTGACCAAGTAAAATTATCTTTTTTTCGACTACAAATGTTTGTTTAGTAGCCAAATGAAACTACCCTGGTCTGCATTTCATGGGGATTGAAGTCTTTTAGGACATCAATGAATGTGTATAATCATCATTGGCTCATGTGGCAGGGATGGTAATTGCTTCCCAAGTAAGTAGTTCAATGATAAAATTGAGTTTTCCATTTTCAAGCGACTTGTTTTTTGTTGTCTATGTACAAATTCATTAAAAGGAAATTATGTTGGGCAAGTCAATCCATGAAAATTTTGTTATTATGCAATTTTATGTAATATGCAAAGAGATTATTTAAGTGACTCGAATCCATGACGTATAGTTTTACTTAGCAAAAATGCTACCCCTGTTTAGAAATTTATATTGTGGTAAATTTTTACTACAACAAAATAGACCTCAGCCAAAAGAAAAATGAAAAATTTATCACATCCTTTGTAAGAGCCAACATGCCTGGTAGTGAACTAACTCCTCCTGATTCAAAAAAAAAAAACACCAACTCCTTGAAGTTCCATGAATGGAGATAGATATGTATCACAACTCAATCACCAAGGTTTTTTTATTCAACAATTGGACCCACGCGGTTTACTTTTATCAAAGTGATTGGAATTTGGAGCCGTGCGAAATGCTGGAAGAAAATAATTGAGAGAAAGAAACAGTGAGCTATATATGGCGTCATAACACTTATCAGATATCAAGTTGGGTGGGTGTCGATTGGTCTAGTCGTCTTCCCAAGTCAATACCGCGTGGAGCCCAAAGATGGCTCACAGCTGTATGGTGTTGTCTAAGCATGCCTCTTGCCCACTCGTTTCTCTCTGTAAATTTCCCAAACATTATTGGAACTCATACAGACAGTGTTTTGTTTCCTTTCCATTGCAATTTGCAATCTTTTCCATTGTTGAGTTGCTTCAGGATAGAGTTCCTAAATCAAAGAGAGTATGGCAAATACACTTGTTTCTGGCCTTGCCAACACCATCTTGGGAAACTTGAGTTCTCCGGCACTGCAAGAATTTGGGGCAGCTTGTGGCCTAAAGGATGAGATCCAGAAACTTAAGAGTACTTTCACTGCAATCCAAGCTGTGCTTCAAGATGCTGAGGCTAAGCAAACCAAGAGTAAGGCTCTGCAGGATTGGCTGAGTAAGCTTAAGGATGCTGCTTATGATGCCGACAATATATTGGATGAGTTTGAGACCGAAGCTCTCATACGAAAGGAAGACCGTCAAAGAGGTGTGTTAAACCAAATAATTGCCTGCTTCACGCATAGAAATCCTTTAGTATTTCGCTTAAGAATGGCTCATAAGGTGAAAGATATAAGGGAGAGATTAGATACCATTGCAGATGAGAGGGATAAGTTCCACTTGAAAGAGGGTGTTACAGATTCACAAGTTTATGACATGGAGAGAAGGCAAACCAGCTCCCTTGTGATTGAGTCAAAAATCTACGGTAGAAATGAGGAGAAAGAAATGATAATTAAAGAGTTGCTTGACAATTCGAGCCATCAGAATGATCTCTCGGTTTATGCTATATGGGGTATGGGGGGGCTCGGCAAGACCTCACTTTCTCAGTTGGTCTACAATGATCCAAGGGTAAAGACACACTTTGAGTTGAGGATTTGGGTGTGTGTATCTGATGATTTCAGCATACAACGGCTGACAAGGGCAATCATTGAGTCGATAGAAGGTGGTGGGTGCAATATCTTAGAGTTGGATCCACTACAGCTACGCCTCCAAGAAAAATTGAGTGGGAGGAGATTTTTACTTGTGCTGGATGATGTGTGGAACGAATACCATGATAAGTGGGATGGACTCAAAATTGCACTAAGGTGTGGAGCGAAAGGTAGTATGCTTGTGGTAACCACTCGAAGTGAGAAAGTTGCTCGTATGATGGCTACGCTTCCAATATTTAACCTGAGGTGTTTGTCGGAGGATGATTCTTGGATTTTATTCGAGTCCCGTGCATTCGAGATTGGAAGGAGGGAGGAAAACTTGGAAACAATCGGCAAGGCAATAGTGAAGAAATGTCGTGGGTTGCCCTTGGCAATAAAGGCCCTTGGAAGCCTGTTGCGGTTTAAAAACAGCACAAGTGAATGGTTACGTGTGAAAGAAAGCGCAATTTGGGATTTAGCGGATGGTGAAAATGATATCTCACCTGTCCTAAGGCTAAGTTATAACAATATATCTCCATCTTCGAGGCAATGTTTTGCTTATTGCTCAATATTTCCCAAAGACTATGAAATGGAGGTGGACATGCTGATAGAGCTTTGGATTGCAAACGACTTCATTCCATCTAAAGGAGAAACAAATCCATATCTTATGGGCCGTGGGATCTTTAATAATTTGGTCTGCAGGTCTTTCTTTCAAGATGTCAAGGAGGATTACAAGGGTGACTTGACATGTAAAATGCACGATCTGATGCATGATCTTGCAATGTCTATTATGATACAAGAATGCTACATAATAGAGCCTTGGAAGGAGCTGAAAATTCCAGAAAAAGTTCGCCATTTATCTTTTTATGGGAGCACCCTTTGGATGGTTCCTCGATACGAAGATGTGCGAAAAGTGCAATCTTTACGCTCCATTGTAGTTCTATCATGGCACAAGAACGGGAAGGATATTGCTACCTACATCTCAAAACAAAGTAATCTGAGAGTGTTGGAGTTGAATAACTGTTACTTGAACGAAGTACCATCGTAATTTGGAATTTGAAACATCTTAGGTACCTGAACATGTCGAGCTCTTGGATAAAAATTCCGAAATCAACGAGTTTTCTTCAAAACGTGCTGATGTCGAAGCCCGGAAGTTATTGTGGGCTTCATAAGTTGCTCAGTTATAGGGAAACAATGACAGAACATGGGTCAGGGTGGTATAAAACTGAAAAATTACCATCTTCAATTGGGCATTTGAAACATCTTAGGTACCTCAACATGTCGAGCACTGATCAAATCCTTACCGGAATCAATGACTTGTCTGCAAAATCTACAGACATTGAAGCTGAAAGATTGCATGCTACTTCGTAAATTGCCCAAAGGTATGAAAAATTTGAGAAATCTTAGATGTCTTGACATTAGAGGATGTGATTCTCTTGTTTGTATGCCTGCTGGACTCGGGCAGTTAAGACACCTACAGACTTTAAGCATCTTTATTGTGGGTTCGGACCGTGGTCAACAAATAGGCGAGCTGAAAGAATTAAATCTTAGTGGTGAGTTGACCATCAAGGGACTCCATAATGTAAGAGATTCAGAGGACGCAAGAAGTGCCAACTTAAAGAGGAAGCAGGATCTTTGTGCTTTGATATTGGATTACGAGGATATCAAGACTGACAACTTACTAGATAATGATGAAGAAATTCTTGATGGTCTCCAACCTCATCCAAATCTAAAGAAGTTGAGCATATGGTCGTATCAAGGCTTGAAGTTTCCTAATTGGATGCTAGATTTGAATCTGATTGAAATCTCTCTAAGACATGTAAGAGATGTGAACATCTTCCACCTCTCGGGAAACTACCCTCCCTCAAGGTTCTTTCTATTGTTGCAATGGAAGCTTTTAAGTGTTTCAACAATGACTACTATGGAGATGGGGAACAATCATTTCCAGCACTAGAACAGCTCTATTTGGAGGATATGCCTAGTTTGGAGGAATGGACAACAGTTGATAGAGGAGAAAGTTTTCCTCGTTTGCGGGAATTATACATCCGTCAATGTCCCAGGTTGACTGAATTTCCTTGTCTTCCATCACTTGGGAGATTAAGCATAGAAAACAGCAATGAGATGCTATTAAGGTCGGTGATGGATCTCACTTCACTTTCCTCGCTTGGAATATCTAGGTTTGATGGGTTGGAGTTTCTTCCAGATGGACAGCTTCAAAATCACAAGGTTCTTGAGTCCCTATCGATTAGTGAACTAGGCAATCTCAAGACTCTGTCACATCAGCTGGATAATCTTTCTGCTCTGAAAAAGTTAAACATTGATCGTTGTAATTCTCTCGAGTATTTACCAGATGGACTCAAAAACCTCAGATCCCTTGAGAGACTCGAGTTACGGGAATGTGACAGCCTTACATCCTTACCGGCGACAGGGTTACAAGGCTTGTCTTCCCTGAGATCATTGAGCATAACGAACTGTAAGGAACTAAGTTGTTTATCTGAAGGAGTAAAACACCTGACTGCTCTCCAGGATTTGGTCATAATTAGTTGTCCAGAGATGACGTCTCTACCGAATTGGCTAGGAAGCCTAATGTCGCTGTCGTCGTTACTGTTTGGGATTGCCCCAACTTGATCTCCTTGCCAGATGGGCTGCAGTCACTCAAAAAACTGCAAATTATTGAATGTCCACATTTGGAGAGGCGAGAAAGAGAAAGGAGAAGACTGGCCAAAGATAGCTCATGTTCGTGAGATTGGATCAATAATCGGAAAATACAGTCCTTGATCCACATGACTAAAATGCATCTGACGGAACAATCTTCATACGATGGTTGTGGTAGCCAGCAGCAGCTTGTGGAGCAGGCAGATAAAAATAAACTTTAGAAGGTAAATTTCTGTGACTTCCTTGTTGATGTATTATTTATTTCTCCCTGCAATTGCTCCTGCTCTGCTTTGCTCTTGGGGTCAAGTTATATTATAGCGATCCTAAACTCCCCCAATGCATTGTAAAATATTTATTTATTTATTTATTATAATTTGACTTCCAAAAAATTATATTTCAAACAAAATAATAATAAATTTGAGTACTATACCTCCTTCCTTTGATACCTAAGCCAAACCCATTGTTTGTCTTGTATGTGGTATGACCGAACAGCCTACAAGGTCTTGTTTGTCGCCGGATGCGTGAATAGTTGTAGGGAAGCCGGACAAACCAAAAAAGTTTATTCTGGTTGAGGTTGCCAGATTCTGGTGAGAGAGTAAGGGTTTGTTTGATTTGCGTTTCAAAAAATGGTATTCAAAAATAGTTTTTGAAAAGAGTTTTAAGAAAGTGGTTTTGATATTTTTTAAGATAAAAAACTTGTTTGGTTAGATAATTTCAAAAATAAAAATCAATATATATATATATATATATTCACAAAAAAAAAATATATATATATATATATATATTAATAAAAAAATATAAAAAATTTATTTTTAAATTGATAATTTCATAAAAAAAATCAAATATATATATAATATATATATATATATATATATATATATATATATATATATATATATATATACTGTTCACCTTATTTCCAAAATTTTCAAAGAAAACTATGAAAACAAACTACACTTGTTTTTTTGTTTCTTTGACTCAAATCTCATTTTTTTCTCCCAAAATTTAGATAAGAAAAATGCTAAATAAACAAGTTTTGGGTGTTTTTAAAATTTTGAGAACAGAAAATTGTTTTGGAGTTGCTAACCAAACATGGCCTAAATTTTTGTACCTTTATGGGATGAGTAATGCTATATGAACTTAAAAACTAAACTTAAAAATTAGACTTGATAATCTCAACTATTGAATAGGTAGTGAGTTCTAATAAATGCTGAGACTCACAATAAAATCAATGGTTGAAATTATCAAATCTAATTTTTAAATCTATTTTTTAAGTGTATGTAGCATTGCTTCTATGAGATTAGTTGGACTTCGAGAAACGATCTCAGCTATGTAGTTACAATTTTTTTTTTACTTTTTTTTTTGGAAGGGGAAAGGAGGAAAAGGACTTGAACCCTTGACCTCAAGAAGGTAAAACCTTCACAAGATAAGGAGTACCATTATATCAAAGACCCATTGGTATGTAGTTACAATTAGGTACTCTTGATTGATGCATTTGTGTGTTTGCTCTTCTTTTTTTTTGGTTCATCTCCGTTTTCTTTTTCAATTTTTTAGGTTAAATTTGAGTTGGTTACAATTTTCTCAATTTGTTCATTTTTCGATTTTTTTGGTAAAATTTGGGTTGGTTACAGTTTTCTCAATTTGTTCATTTTTGACTTCAATTGTTTTTGATCTTATGGTCTTATTTATGAAGGAAACTATATTTTTTATTTTTCGGTGAAAGTAATTCATTGATGGAAAAATTGGACATTATAAAGAAACTCAAACATTCCCCATCGTTGGATTTTCATGGACAGACAATCGTTGCTTTTTTGGTTTAGTACTTCTATACTTGAACTTCAATTTTCCCAATGCTCACAAGCTCCATTTTTGTCTGTCTTCACTTACCCCTCTGTTGGGTTCTAGTGTTTAAGCTGGACCCGAGGAACCTTGGTGTTGAACTAGACTAGTAGCAGCCAGTATGTCCGATGAGGTTGCATATAACCCATTGACTATTTCTAGTACTAGTGTCTCAAATGAACTAGGATTCTGGTTTCCACAAACAGCTCAAAGGGCTTTCTGGAGTGCAATGTTTTTTTGCATTCGTAAAGCCCATCACTATTGTTCTGGGATATGCTTGCAGGAATGAGGAGTTATGCAATGTATTGTTGTAATGGTTCCTCTGTTAGGTCTGTCTGTTCCCATAGAGCTTACAAGCAGTCCTTTCGCATTAGTCATAAAACACTATTCTTGTCCTGAATTTCTTTTGAGGTGCAAACATATACTTCAAACTGGGCTAAATTATCGCAGGTTCCCTAAAGGGATGGACTTGCAGTCGAGGTAATACATGTGTGCACAATTTATCTCTCTTGTTTGATGAGTTAGGTTCAAGAAGTATGTATAGTTCTCTTATAAGTGCCAAGAACTTTAGGAAATGACCATTTTGCAGTCTGAATAATGGAATTGTATTACAACTCATAGCCGAGGAGAATATTTCCAGTAATTTCCTTTGTCCTTAATTTTTCATCGAAAAATGACACCTTAATAGTGATATCTTTTTTGAAACAGAGGTAGCTAGAGCAAGTTGGTGGCAGCATATAGATGTCTATGTAAATCTCGTGGGGTTTTATTTGGCCGGACTTACAGGACCTATTGTCATGGGTTTCATTCTCCATTTGGATGGGATATTGGGAGGATCTATTGTAAAATCATCTCATCTCATAGCCCGTTTCATAGATTGTCAAAAGAAGGTTCATGATCCTATCTCCCCTCAAACTTTACTACTAACTCTTTTTTTTTTCTTTTTGGTTTTTCTTCTTTTCCTTTCTAGCAAAAGCTCTGTCTGCCTGCCAAGAATGCCATGGTAACCCCCAAAAAAATAGGAATTTCTGAATCGTTGTCGATATTTTGCAGGCAACCAAGCTACTTGAGGGTAGATCTTCATCATGAAATGCATTGATTGATTGCTTGCTGCTTCATCGTAAATTTGTTGAAAAGTTGTTCAAAAATGCTGTTGCATCTGATACAATTGTGAATCGATCGAATTTATTCTATAAGTATGTCCATGTCTGTCCATTTCCATTTGTATTAACTAGTTGGTGCACACGTGCGTTGCGTTGCACCTGAATTATATTACACCATTTTTATTTGTATTAACTAGTTGATACACACATGTGTTGTATGTATGAGAACCATTTTGACTTAAAATATTATTCTAAGCTGTCATTGTTATCCAAGTTACAACCATCAGAAGAAATAAATAATTATGTCTGTTGTGTTGGAGATGTCTGACCAAATATAAGCAACTGAGCTCCTTGGTCAATTCCTTCATTCTGAGTGTAATAGATTGAACTATCCTAGCGGCTAGATTATATAATAAATTTAAAATACTAATGACTTATATTAGTAGACTTATATTAGTAGAAATGAGTTCTCGTAAAAAAAAAAAAATAACTTTTCATTGTCCAAAAAAATTGTACATTTAGTATTTAAATAAAAGGGAAAATTTGAGTCACACTTTTTCTATTTTACCATATTTTTAAGGACATTCTCTCTATTATCCAAAACATCACTAACATCCCTTCTAATTTGTATTTAAACATCACTAACACCCCCTATCGTTGAACCACCATTTCTTACAAATTAAAATTTATTTTTTTTACATAATAACAGTGGAGCCAATAAAAATTCAATACAAGTTGATTAAAATTTTATTCAATCCAATTGGCCTAAATTTTAATATCTAAAAAAATTCATAAAATAAAAAGAGTTTCATTGAAGATATGCCTACCTAAAAAGAATGTGGATGAAATTTTTCCTAAAATCTATTATGGACAATTTAGTAAAATTGTATTCTAGTTAAGGTCTTCAATTTGATAGGGAGTGCCAGTGAAAATTCAAAAAATAAAAAGATACCCTTGCAAATATGATAAACTAGGAGAAGTGTGATTAAAATTTTCCCTACATAAAATGATTTCATTGGCCCAAAAAATTACAAGGCATATGAACAAAAAAAATCACACAAACAAGAAATTTTTTATTGAGTAATGCTACATAAATTTAAAAACTAGACTTAAAAATTAGACTTGATAATTTAACCATTGAATAGGTAGTGAATCTCAATAAATACTGAGACCTACAGTGAAATCAATGGTTGAGATTATCAAGTATAATTTTTAAGTTCATGTAACATTACTCTTTTTTATTTGAATACAAACTGTAGAATGCCTTATATTTGTTCTTCCCAATATAATAAATGCACATCTTCTTAAAAACCAGAGTAATTTGTAGATCGATTGTTTGCGGCAGAAGTCCATAAAAATTTGAAAATTCATGTAACAACTTCAATTTGTAGATCCAAAAATGTGGGAGGACAAAGGGTGAAGCCCAATTATTTGATTTTTTTGTCTTAGTTAATTGGACGAAGATAGTTTCAATACAACTTTGATCCATAGCAATTCTGATTTCACAGAAGTAATCCTTTAGGATCACATATCTAATCTATATCCTAGAATAAGTGGGCAATATTGAAATATGAAGTCAAGCAGAACTATGACTCCTAAAATAGGCAGCTATAGGCCTCCTTTCAATGGTTAGTCCATAGCCATTAGAAGCATACAGCTATCCACATCCTGGTATAAAGCGTAAAAATGATTCAACAAAAATCTTGCGAAATAGCTATTTCCGATTCTCTGAATAGTGCTGCCAATGCCTAGGCAATACCTATCCCTTGTGAGCTTGGCAATGAGTTGATGAAAAATGAAAGAGAGAGAGAGAGAGAGAGAGAGAACAAATTGAACTAACCATACAAAAGAGAAAATTTAAGAATAATATTCACTGTTATGGTTTCATGGCCAAGGTTTAATGTATGAAATCACAAGGCAGGCAAATAAGTAAGCAAAGGTCAATAAATTACGGTGATGAGCCTGCATTTGGGTTCACTTTTCTTTGGCGTTCTCAACAGAATTATAGATCAAACCAAAAAACCAGTTGAT